GTAATTATACCATGGAGAAAGTGGAAAACATCCTGACCAGGTGCACTAGGTATTAATTTGTTGCCTCTTAGCTCCAAACTTGCCTTCCTTCCCCACCACACTAAAGTTGGGACTCCAAACTACGTTTCTCTTTGCCAGCTGGCCAACAGGGGCCTCTGAAGAGGATGACAAGGCTGGAAGAGACCATTTGTGTCTCAGTCTGGCCTGGATCCCAGCAGTATCCTCCACGGTGATTGTTCGCTGCTCTCATGTGTAGCGGGCACCTCCAGGGAGTTGATTCTGCAGCACAGGGCTGGCAGCACGTTCCTGTCTGAAGTCTGCCTCTCAGGCTTACAGGGCTCTTCTCTGATGTTCTAAGTTCCTTCTTTCTCTTCCCCTGATCCTCAGGGTTGTAGCTGTTTTCTAGATAGACGCTTTGGAGCTCTTTTCTCCCTTACAGTAGTTAATGACTTCTTACTCAGTTAACAGTTATTAAAATTTTCCTATTAACTTTTTACCCTTCACTAGACCCTAAATGATACACCAGGTGATCAAAATTAAGGTCACCAATGAAGGGCAGATGACACTGTGTTTCCTGAGAGGATATATGACACAGTGTTCTAGGCATCTAGAAGGCAAAACAATCTCATTGAATCAACAGGGAACATCAGATAAACCCAAAACAAGCAGCATTATTTTAAAGGATAAACTGTATTCTTTCAAAATGTCAATGTCTTAAGTGACAAAACCATGGAAATGCTCCAGGTAAAAGGAGACCAAAGAGACATGTAATACGTGATCCAAGACTAGATCCAGAACTGGGAGGGGGTAGGGCTCTACAAAGGACATGAGGAGATCAGAATGCAAACAGTATTTTAAACTACTCTATCAGTGTTAACTGTACTGAATTTGATCACTGCACTGGGGTTGTTGCAGAGTATCTTTATTCCTAGGAAATACCCACTGTTAAGTATTAGACCAAAAGGACCATGACACAGAGGAAGAGCACATGCAAGAATACAAATGACAAATCAAGTGGCATAAATGTTACTCAGTGGATCTAAGCAAAGGATATTTGGGCCTCATTTGTACAATTTTTAATTACTCCAACTTTAGTAAGTCTGAAATCATGGGGTTGGCCAAAAGGTTTTCTGTAACATCTGAGGAAAACCTTGAACAAACTTTGTGGCCAACACAGTATTTCCAAATAAAATTCATTTATTTTAAAAAAGAAAATGCCTACAGCAGTAATTCTCAGCCTTCACTTCACTCTAGACACTACAAGTCACCTCAGAAGCTCTGGGATTCCAGGCATCTGTATTCTTAAAGTTCCCCCAGTGATTCCAATGTGCAGACAAGGATGGGAAATGCTGGTCCAGTGGGAGAGCTCACTTATTAAATTCAGGCATAAAAAGTGGCTCTTTTGCACTCTAGAGAATAAGCCCTGGGGAACAGGTCTCAGGGTAATGTAAACTCCTAGTCTCAGCTCCATGTGGTATGGCAGAGACCCTAGAGGTATTAAGTACGTAGGTGGTGGTGGTGGTGTAGTTGCTAAGTCATGTCTGACTCTTGCGACCCCATGCCAGGCTCCTCTGTCCATGGGATTCTCCAAGGCAAGAATACTGGAGTGGGTTGCCATTCCCCTCTCCAGGGTATCTTCCCAATCCAGGAATCGAACCCAGGTCTCCTGCATTGCAGGCAGACTCTTTACCAACTGAGCTACCAGGGAAACCCAAGTAGGTAGGTAGTAAGTGGAATTCGTATGGATCTGGTCAACATGGAGAGATTTCCGATCCAGAGCTTCCTAAAGGAATAAGGCATTTCCATGACTATGCCAGGAGTTAAGCATAACTTATAGCTGACAGGCACTAGAATGGTTTAACTGGACCGAGAACTACCATCTCCCCTTGTCTTTTTGGCTCCACTGTTAGCATGATGGGTTTGGGTCTGGCTGACAGAGCACAGGAGAGGATGTTGCTCTCTCACCAGGCAAGCCAGGGAATGAGTGAAAGGGGTGGTGTGGAATTAGTTTCTTGGGCAAGTTCAAGGAGTGGGTTACTAATTGGCCTATTTTCCCAAAGCAGTTTCCTACTCTGGAGGCTCATCTACGTAGGTCTTGCAGAAAGAGCTGAGGGCAACCAACATTCCAGTCCAGCTACTTCTCACCTCAGCTCCAACCTGTGACAGAGCAGCCACAGAATGGAACATATGGAAAACTGGAAGCAAGGATGGGGAGACATGGCTGGGGTACTGGGAAGGTGCTAGTCAAAGGCCCAAAGACAAGCAAATCCATTCCTGTCCAACGTGCAACAGACAGGAACAGGAGATAGGTTCGGTCAACAGAACATAGACAATCTCCTACTCAGTTCAGTCGCTCAGTTGTGTCTGACTCTTTGCGACCCCATGGACTGCAGCATGCCAGGCCTCGCTGTCCTTCACCAACTCCTGGGGCTTGCTCAAACTCATGTCCATTGAGTCGGTGATGCCATCCAACCATCTCATCCTCTGTTGTCCCCTTCTTCTTCTGCCTTCAATCTTTCCCAGCATGAGGGTCTTTTCCAAGGAGTCAGTTATTCACATCAGGTGGCCAAAGTATTGGGAGTTTCAGCTTCAGCATCAGTCCTTCCAATGAACATTCAGGACTGATTTCCTTTAGGATGGACTGATTGGATCTCCTTGCAGTCCAAAGGGCTCTCAAGAGTCTTCTCCAACACCACAGTTCAAAAGCATCAATTTTTTGGTGCTCAGCTTTCTTTATAGTCCAACTCTCACATCCATACATGACTACTGGAAAAAACCGGAGCTTTACTAGATGGACCTTTGTTGACAAAATAATGTCTCTGTTTTTTAATATGCTGTCTAGGTTTGACATAGCTTTTCTTCCAAGGAGCAAGCGTCTTTTAATTTCATGGCTGCAGTCACCATCTGCAGTGATTTTGGAGCCCAAGAAAATAAAGTCTGTCACTGCTTCCACTGTTTCCCCATCAATTTGCCATGGAGTGATGGGACCGGATGCCATGATCTTAGTTTTCTGAATGTCGAGCTTTAAGCCACCTTTTCACTATCCTCTTTCACCTTCATCAAGAGGCTCTTTAGTTCCTCTTCACTTTCTGCCAGAAGGGTGGTGTCACCATCTCCTACAGTTCTCTCAAATCAGCCATGTTTTGGTTAACTTGCACCTGAACAGAAATTAGTCTCTACCCCTCTCCTTTTTCACATCATCTCCATTTTCAGGCAGGACAGACTTGCATAGTACTTAGTCGTCTCAAAATTGATTGATCCAAAACTGAACAGGAACTCATGTCCGTAGATATGATCCTTACTGGCTCCCGATCCCTGCAACTAATTCTGTTTTCCCAGTTGACTCAGCCAGAAACCTGGGACTCATCCTCGAATCCTTCCATCCTTCTCCTTTCTCTCTGCCCAGTGATCAAATTCATCATTCTCCCCTACTCCAAACTCCTCCTGAGACGACCTCTACCAACAGAGCCCCACTCCAGAGAGTTCTTGAATTCTCTCCTAAACTACGATATCCACACCTCACTGAAGCCTGCATGGCCACAGGGAGGCTATGACAGGTCTACCTGCATCACTACCATGTTCACACATGGCTGCTTCTACCTTCAAGTAAAATCTGACCTCCAAAGGATGTCAAGGAAGACCCTAGAAGACCTAGGCTCTACCACACTTCTTTTCCCAGCATTGTGTTTCCAGCCCCAGGCACAAAGAGTTCCTTGTGGCTGTCTACATACTCCATCCCATTTTACATTCCCGTGTACCCTCTTCTAAAAAGTCTATCTAGCCTCTGGGCTTGGGCCTCTCCTCCAGAAGTTGCCTCTGACCTCTCCAGGCATCTCCTTCTGGCTCCCATTTTTTTACCACTACAATCACTGCACTGAATGGGAATTATCTGCGTCTATAAATTCTCTGATACTAGCACTCCACATCCCTTGAAGATGACGACAGCGCCATCACTGTATCCCCAGCGCCATGCACACAGCAGATGCTCCATATCTGCAGGATGTGCTGGACTGAAAAGCATCTGTAGCTTTGTGAATACCAAGGTCTTTTGAATTTTGCAACACGAATTTTGTTTACAATGACTGAAACACATGCAAATCATAATGAACTACAGATAGCACCAACATAAAACATTATACTGCTGCTCTGGAATTGAAGTGTCTCCAAATAATTAAAAACTACATGTTGAAGGGGTGATACAGAGTTTATTGAATTAGATTTTTCTATTTACAACTGAGATCACATCTACATACTATTTTGCTAGTCTACATGGGTACATTATTTCTAACGAGTTTAGACTTACGATGAATGGGCTCAATCATACAAAAATACACGCAAACACTCACACTAATTGTTTTAAAACAGTAGTGCATACATTATACTCCTCCTATAAAGCCAGCTTTGATTAAAAACCGCTAGTTTCAAAGATCAGTCTGATTTTGAAGATGAACCAAGATACACGAGGTATGATTCTAAAATCTATCTTAGCCATTTTGTACAGTTGCTATCTTACTGGACTATAGTATATATTTTTAAAAAGGACACTGATGAGGGGCACCATCTGGTATTAACTTTAACCAGACAGCTGACTGCCTCCTCCTCCCCCCAAAAACCTTTGGCCAAGAGTTCTCCACTGTGAAGACTGAAAGACCTGGTGACGCTACAGCAGCAGTCCCATTATGCTTGGAGGTGACAGAAGCAGGGCCACGGCAACCTTTAATGCTACCACACTACGCAACTCACAAACGGTTCTGAGATTAGAACATTTACCGCCGTACTCAAAACACTTACGGACATGGAGAGTCAGCTAGAACAAAGGGAAAAAAAAAGTCATCTGTGGGTAGGTAAGAAGGTAGACAAATGAAGAGTCAAGCTGCTCTGTCCAACACCTGTGTACGTGTGCTTTAACTAAATGAACTCAGGAGGCCAATAGCAGGGGACCTGCTCAATTCACCTTCCAAATCAGAACAAGACTAAAAAGCTCAGGCTTGAGTTTTCTACTATGCATAGGTTCCGCCGGTGATGAGGAGCTCATAAGCAGGATCTCTACTCCTTCTGCACAACACGATGCAGGCACACAGCATGCCCAGCAGCTGTAGGAAGAAAACAATGGGGAAAAAAGGCTGAAAATCCTCTTACAGCAAGTGTGTATTTCTTTGTTGGCAATGGAACTGTTTCACCATTCAAAGATCTCAAATCATCAAAAAAATCACGAACAGTAAGCAATTTCTAATGAACACATTATCCTTTTAGGAACTAAGAACCCAGTTTTAGCATCCCTGCTGCATATTTAAGAATAATCTGTGAAGCAAGCAGAGTATCCAGGCTCTCCTAGTGCTATCCCCATCTTGATCCAGACCAGGGCTGTACAAAAGTACTTTCCGCAGTGATGGAAACAGTCTGTAACTGAGCTGTCACATATGGTAGCCACTAGCCACATGAGGTTCCTGATCACTTGAAATGGAGCTAGTGCAACTAAGGAGTTGCATTTTTTATGTTATTAATTTAAATTCAGATGTATGTGGCTAGTGGTTACCATATTAGACAGCAAAGGTCTAGGGAGTGTAATGAGCAAGACTACATATGAAGAAATCTAATGTTGGCCTTTCACACATCTGGATTTTGGGGAGATAGGCTTTATGACAACCCACAGAATGAAAAGCCCAATATATGAGTAGCCCCAAAGCCCTATGCATGGGGAACCAATCCAGATGCCAAAAAGTGTGGTTTGAAGGTTTCTGCTTTGCATTTATTTATTATTTTTGAAATCCAGGATAGCTCTTGTGATATTATGTACATATTACCTTTTAAAGGTCACTTTCTTCATCATTTTAATAGGCCTAATCCTTCTGTGGTAGTAAATCGGAATAGTAATAAAGTCATGCCATGTTATTTTGGATAAGTGAGAGGATTAGGCTGGATTAAAGAGAAACGAGTCTAGAATTTCTGACCTGCCTTCTTACAAGATATAAACAGTTATATACAGTTAAAGAGCTAAATAAATGAATGTGCTGTTCTAACTTTTCACTGAAAGTGAAAGGTCTCAGTTATTTGATTTTAAAAGGCAGGGCCCTTTGTACATATAGGGGTCAATCTAATTTCAACAGAATGTACCCGATCTGTAACTAGACAGTCAAAGTCTGAAGTGGAAGATTACTAATGAGACACATGTACAGAGACAAAGGATGTCCTCAGTCTGAATTCTCCAGGATGAAGTCACACACTCCAACTTCTCCGCTTATTTAGCCTCTAGTCTACCCATTTGGGATATATACTTCCTGCTTGAATTCATCAGTTTCATTATATCAGCATTTGCTGAGTGTTTACTAGTGCAAAGTACCTTAAAGACATTTTAAAAGTAGATATGGTTGAAGTTCACTATATATCTTAAGCCAATTCTAGACATGTTTAGTATCTAATTCCTAAAGAAACACATTTCCATTCACTGTACATCAAAACATTTTTAGAATAGCTATAAGATCAAACACAATTATGTTCCCAGGCAATGTTAAATTGAGCAATAAAAATGCTAAGCTCTGAAATTATTGATTTGGTTGGGGAAAAGATCTCTTCCCATCCTCACTTCCTCACATTCCTTTCAGCTGGTTAACTTCTACTGGAGTCAGCACTCTCAAAATGGGGTCTGAAATAAGTATCCTTTTTTTCTTGACTTTAAATTAAATCAACTTGTACTGATTTAAAAACAATTTAATAAGCTTGATAAAATCCTACTTATGCCTGGAAATGAGTCTGTTTAATAACATTAAATACTCCAATAAAAATTAAAAAGAAAAATTAAGTGCTACACAATAACTTACCATAGTGCAAACCTCATCACAAAGTACTACAGGTTCATTCCCAAAGCTTTGCTACAGTAAAATCTCATTGATTATTGAAATTATCCAACAACAGATTTAAAAATATCACAAATGTTTTAGCTCCAGTGTGATTTCTTAGAATGAAACTTATCCCTACAATATTCAGGTGATGAGAAGTAATCTGCACCTAGTCCAAATATAACACCCAGCCGACAGCAAAAATGATTACTAAATACATAAGCAAATGATTAAAAAAACTGACTGCCAAGGATTAAAATGCTCTATGATACACAATTATAGATGGCATTATGGGGAAGTAGGTTATTTTATACAAGGTAATTAGAACTGGACATTGGAAACACTCTTTTCTGAGAAAAATTTAGAAACACCTATCAAAAAGTCATCCCTATTCTCTGACCCCTCAGCTTAAAGGCTACAGATTTTTTGCTATAGATTTTGCACATACATACAGAGGGTATTCACTACCTGCATTTCGGTAATAACAACACTTCTATAAGTGCCCATTAATGTAAATAAATTATGAAGTAGGTAAAAAAATAGAATACTTATAGGTAGCCATAGTAGCATATTAATTTGTCTTTAAGAAGGTACAAAAGGTTACATATATTATTTCCCTTATATAGTATTTTTAGAATGATGAAGTTTTAGGAATGGAGGACGGATTAGTGGTTGCCAGGGTATGGGGGAGGAGGCATGGGAGGGAGGTGGGTGCAATTATAAAAGAGTACCAGGTGGGACTCTTATAGTGTTGTAACTGTTCAGAATCTTGACTGTGGTGGTGGTGGATACAAGAACCAAACAGGCCATAAAATTGTACAGAACTGAATACACACATAGAAATGAGAAATCTAAATAAAACCAGTGGATTTATCAATGCCAATGTCCTGATTGTGACATGTAAGTTTTGCAAAATGTTAACCACTGAGGGAAACTGTGCAAGGCACACAAAGATTCTGTCTGCATTATTTCTCAAAACTGGAGGTTTCATACAATTAAGAAAAAAAGTAGAAAATTGCATCCTATAAGCCTCTATTTGTATAAAAAATATTTATGTGCTTGTCTAACCACAAACTACTTTAGGAAGGATATATAGGAAACTGGGAACACTGGTTGCCTCTACAAGGAGGGACTCGAGAACTGCGGTCAAGACTTGAGCAGGAGTTTCACCTCTTATTAAATATGTATAATTTGAAGAAAAATTTATCAAGTGGGCTTTTCAATTAAGGAATTTTCAAAAAGTTAACAATTAAGATTAATTTTTCCCAAATTAAAAAATAAAAAAACCACAACTTAGCTACTCAGGAATTAGCTTCCCAAGCTTTGGTTTTAAGTTTTTAAGGAAGAATTACTTGAAGTATTTTTTTTCAAAAGATGGTCAGAATTAAGTCACTCAATTTTAACTATCTAAAGGGCCCAATCCAAAGTGCTATTTACATATGTATTTTAACTCATTTTAATGAATTAAAATAGAAGTTAGAAGAAGCAGGAAGGAAATAGCAGTCTCAGCCTCCTTCACACTTGGCATACAGACCAGAAAAAAGTAGCATGGCCTTGGGAAGCAGTTCTCTATAACATTTTGCTCTTGATCATTCCATCTTAAGGACGTGACAGCATTGTGAGACTCCAAGGACTGATAATTTCCATTTTTTCCCATATTGCCTTTGTAGAGAGCTTTACCTGCTGCTGATACTTAAAAGAGCTTGCCAAATCAAAACTCTAGATTTTATTATTATGACCAGACTACTGAAATATAAAATTTATAGCTGATCATTGGTACATTTAAGAGGCTGGTTACTATCAAAGACGTGAAATATCTTGCTGATTAATAAACTAATAGTATAAGGAGTGTAGAAAAAGCTTTAAAATCTCATTCTCTTATATTAAAAAATCATGTTGTAACAATTAACTAGCACTTTTCAGATTTTTCTTTCTTGATCATTTTGGTCCTACCCAAACCTAGGCCACTTCACAAGACTAGAACAAGGGGCGGGGCAATGTTTCATAAAGGGCAATTTAGGAAATATTTTAAGCTCTGTGAACCAAGAGACAAAACGGCTCTGTGGCAACTACGCAGCTCTGCCACCGTAAGACAGAGGCGGCCACGGCCAACACACAGCCGAGCGGGGCTCACACCGAAAGAGGTGGTGGGCAGACCGGCCCACGGTACTCAGACAAGAGGCTTTTATTGGTAAATTAAGCTTATGGGAAACTTTCATCTTAAATTCACCTTTACGTCTTAGAACATTGATGAAATGTAGCTTAAGAGTACCACAAATCATACTCAGAATCAAAGGAGACAGCACTTACATAGTGTTGATACTTACAACACTACCAAAAATCATCTTTCTTTACCATCAAATAAAACTGAATTTCCTGCAAGAGCTCTTAAAGCCTCCCCACTTTAGAACCTGAAGAAAAACGCTAACAATTTTTCAACGGTATTACACTATGTATTCCATCCAGTTTCAAGTGTCAATTTGCTGTCAGATTTCATAACAGAATTTAGGAATTTAATCTTTTGAGAATCTTAATTCTCCAATTTGTAATCACAGGCAGAGCACACATGGAGATAAGGTTCAAGATTTAGTGATGGTCATAAGTCATGCTATACTTGCTCTTCCTCAATTTCAAGGCCTTCAAAACTAAGGGAACAGGGACTGGAGAATGTCCAAGCATCCTTCTAGCTCTTTCTCTATCAGGGTAAGTGTAAAAGCTCATTGCTCGTTGAGCTGTTCTGCCTTCACCTAGGTTTTCCATATCATGGGCACCAATCTACATCAGATTCTGAATATCAAAAGTTTAAACATTTATAGGTACTCACACATATTAGAAAACCCTTGGATGTTTTTTTCTCTTAAAACTAAATAAAATTTTTAAAATTTTCAAAACCACTATGTTTCAAGTCTGCAAAAGTTCTCAATCTCTGCCTTAGTTTTGCTGAACTTGAAACATCAAAGCTTTTATCAGATATTATTTAAGCCACGGTGATTTAACTATAAAATGGTATGAAAAGGCATATGTAAAAGACTGGTTAGAATGTTTATTAGTCCTCACTGAAAAATATTTAATGAAGAAATATTAATAAGCTGGTTAATAAGCTCAAGTAGATGAGGGACATATCTGAGTGTTGATTTTCATTAGCCTTCTATATACATGTTGCATACTTCATGATCATAAGCATCATACACTTAAGCTTTTCTGCTGCATGCTAATATATGCAGCTTTATTACCACACATAAAATCATTAAAAATGCACAGACCAGGATTTCACTTGGGTAAAGATACTACCTTCATGTTTCGTTATTTTTAGCTAAATGATAGTGTTTACACAAAGAAAATATGAAATACATCCCTGCTGACCTACAGATTACTGCTATGCTGAGCCAAAGAGTAAATGCTTAGAAGGTCAGAGACCATAGCAAATAGAGCTAGGCTTTTTAATCAATCATTTCAGAGCTGTTTGAATACAAGCAAAGTAAACAATCACCTTTTTGCCATTATAAAAGGCACTTCCTACTAAATACACTAGTTTCTGTTCAAATATACAGAGAGCAGACAAACCAAGGAACTTACATATAAATTAGCAATTACTTTGGTTTATCTAGCAATTAAATGATAGAAAAACTTTAACACATTATTGCCTGGGGGATTTTTGCAGAAACAAATGCCTGTGGTGTTAATATGTCTTTGGTCAAAAATGTGCTAGAACAGATTCTCTGGACCTGAAGTATGTTTCAAGAATATACTAAAAGAACACTACAGAACACTCTGAGAACTAGATCTGATGCAAAGGATTTTCAATTCTTTCCAAATAGTTGTAACATTCCTCTAACAGAATCCCCAAGATAAAATATATATACCTGAGAAACTAGGAATGTAGATAGTTTAACTGGGCAGAAAAATAGTCATCTTATTTGTTTTTTAGGTGGGTATGAAATTGAAGATTGAAGGCAGAAGGAGAAGGGAATGACAGAGGATGAGATGGTTGGATGGCGTCACTGACTCGATGGACATGAGTTTGAGCAAGCTCTGAGAGTTGGAGATGAAAGGGAAGCCTGGTGTGCTGCAGTCCATGGGGTTACAAAGAGTCAGACACAACTGAGTGACTGAACTGAACTTAATTGATGAGGTATAAAGGATATGTGTGGGTTTGTTTGTTTTTGATAAAGTGAGAGGTAATTAAAACAATTACCAGCTACTTTGTACAAGCTATTAGTAAGGGGGGACAGTAAGCTCCTACTGTTTTCACTGGTAGGAGCTGGGACAAGTACCCTCAGCTACCAAAAAGACACAGGACATTTCCAGATATGCCAAGCAGTATGACAGACTTCTTGATGCCAATCTGTTTAAAAAAACTAAATCCACAAATACTAGGGCGGATAAACCTCAGCATTTACTTAATAGTCTTTTCTGTAAAGTGATAAAGTTGCTCCTGTTAGTGTAAGAGACTAGTGTAGTGCCAGTTCTTGATGTATGTATATTAACATATAAATCCCTTGGAGACAGGAAAGCAAGAAATGGAAACAGAAACAAAAAAATTAAAGCTTTCCATCTCCAAGCTAAAATAAAGCAGTTTGATTTTTTTTAACAATTGTGTGAAGTTCTACTAAAGCACCTCCCAAGAATACATTATGACAACAGTCTGTATTTTGAACAGGTCACTCACTAATCAAGTCAAGAAAATAAAACAAGAAGTCCCTCGTCCATGGTTTCCCCGTCCAGATCTCTGGTTTCTGGGACCATTCTGGGTCTATGTCTGGACACAAGAAATAGAGTTGGAAACTGGTGTCTGTACCTCAATCACTTCCAAGTTATCCATATACACAAAGCTTAACTGCACGTGGTGGTTAAAAACCATTTGGTACTGACATTGGAGAATCAGTACACTCTGATAAGTCCTTGGCTAGCTGTGCTTACCTGAATAGCTGCAAATGCCAACGCTGCCCAGATAACATGCATCATGATTTCTTGTAGCTTCTTCACAACTAGAGCCTCACACCCCTGAAACACCCAAAGTAATCTTCATTAGTCTTTTTAAAAAGGGAAAAGCTACAAGGTCACACATTACTACTCATTGGCAGGAATGGAAATGACAAACTACAAGAAGGAAAAAGATAATGCATTTGAAAATTATATTAAAATTAAATGACATTAAAGACAAGTAAAAGAAGGTAGAAAAGTTCGAGGTAGAGAAAATTCACCAAGAAAACCTAGGTTACCAGGCTAGATTCAAGTGCTAGTCAAGAAACTGAACTTACCTCAGCATAGAGATCAGAGGGGTGGGCCAGACTGCCGTTACAGCTGCTGGCTGTCTCTCTGCAACAACTAAGTGGGACGCTCTGGTTTTTGGTTTCTTTGAACCAGTCTGTATTTTCCCAGTCTGAATAGTTGTGAATTCCACAACAGTGCAGCTAACAGAGAGGAGAAGAGAGACATCAGTCCTCATAGAACACACGGCCCTGCGTTAACTTCAGAGTTCTGTGTACTGCAGAGCTTTAAGCTACCTTAGACCAGTGATGTCCAATAGAACTTTCTGCAGTGACAGAAATGCTGTAGGTCTGTAAGCTCAGTATGGTAGCAACTAGCCACACAGAGGAGAAGGCAATGGCACCCCACTCCGGTTCTCTTGCCTGGAAAATCCCATGGACAGAGGAGCCTGGTAGGCTGCAGTCCATGGGGTCGCTAAGAGTCGGACATGACTGAGTGACTTCACTTTCACCCTTCACTTTCATGCATTGGAAAAGGAAATGGCAACCCACTCCAGTATTCTTGCCTGGAGAATCCCAGGGACAGGGGAGCCTGGTGGGCTGCCATCTATGGGGTCACACAGAGTTGGACACGACTGAAGCGACTTAGCAGCAGCCACACAGAACTACTGAGCACTCACAGTGTGGCTACTGTTAACCTTGGAAGTGAATTTTTAACTTTAAAGTTAATTTAAGTTAACTTTAATTAAATTTAAATTTAATTTAAATTTAATTTAAACTACATATAATTAGTGGTTCTAGACCCTCTGTTTGAAAAATCATATTGCCAACAAGGGGTAGTTTATAGCTAAGAAAAAAATCTTTAATTTTGCCTGTTAAACATCTGATTCTGGATTAAATATTATATCCAAAGACACAGTATTTAAAATCTTTTGTCTGAAATGTCTGGAATTTACTCTAAGTTATAACTAGCAAAAGACATGTGGGAGTAATAGATGAAATAAGATTGGCAAAAGTGGATAAATTTTGAGGTGAGTTTATGGATACAAAGATCTACTAGATGATTCTACCTTTAGGTATGTTTCAAATTGTCTACAATAATTTTCTTTTTTTACAGTTTTGTCTTATCTTTGCCAGTCTTGTCTTCTAAAGGTATGTGAAAGACTTCTCACCTCCTCTAAAGTTCATTTGGGCTCTCAACTTTCCTGTGACATAAACCTCTTGCCCATTATCACCCCGTTAGTTAATTATTTTTTTAGGGGAAGGGCAGATGCTTCCTATCTGGCTATGCTAGGTAATGGTGGAAAAAACTTTTCCAGGGTGAAGGTAAAATTACTGGACTCATTATGCAGCTAACCATGGCTATAAAGGTACACTGCTAATTTACATAGTAACAGAGATAAGTTTAATGTTGACTCAATAGCGATTGGTTCTCAAAAACAAATCAGCTTCAAGAGAACTCACCTGTCTCTGAACATAGTCAATGGCCCGACTAGCAGCATCAGGGTTGGTTCCATTGTAGGTCTTATATACCTTCTGAATGCTGCGATCAACTTCATTTTCCACCTGAATCAAAACAAAGAATCCAGTCCCTCAAAAATATTGGTGAAAGTAACATTAGTCAAGGCTCCAGCTAAATGCCTAAATGGCATGTATGTAAAGTTTTGAGATAGTGCTATAAATTTCTTGTAAGAAAAAAGTTCTCTCCCTTCGTGCCTTCAGGCAGACTCAGGTAAAATGTCAGACATATTACATTAGATTAAAAGCAATCAAAGAGATGATTGTGTGCAAGATGGCAGGCTATCTATTTATGAAAGAGGGAGAAAGCAGTTGAGCCCGAGATAGGTGTCCTAAATTATAAATATATCACCTCCATTTTCAAATGGGGTTCTTAGAAGACCTACTCATTTTCCTTTCCTAAAGGAGGTAAAAATTAAACAACTTAAAAAGCACCTATAGGATACTTTTGGGACAAATACCAATACTACATTTTACTTATTTAATGTTTATCTAGACTTGGACAAATATGCAAAAGTAATCAACAGATTTAAAAAAAACAATTAGGAAATCAACTCTTCAAAATATATCACTGCCAACAGAGTGGCAACTAAAGTGTCATTTAATTAAGTTTGCTTGTACCAGATTCTCCTTACCCTTCTAAGATGATGAGACCTATATGGTTAATTTTATCAGTCATGTGGTTAAGATCATAAAATTGATAACCAGACTGTAAGCAGGGGCATGATCCACTGCATTCTTTTTTTTTAGCATAGCTGTCTGTTACGTTATACAGCAATGGTTAAATAGTAAATCAACCTATCATGTCTTTGACTCCAAATCATAAGTTACAATGAGAATAACCCTGGGTGTGCTCAGAGAATAACCTCACGATGCCTGTGTATTGGTTCTATGTTGTTGTTGTTTAGTTGCTAAGTTGTGTCCAACTCTTTTGCTAATGCATGGACTGCAGCCCACCAGGCTCCTCTGTCCATGGGATTTTCCAAACAAGAATACTGGAGGGGGTTGCCATTTCCTTATCCAGGGGATCTTCCCCATGCAGAGATCAAACCTATGCCTCCTACATTGGCAGGAGGTTCTTTACTCGAGCCACCAGGGAAGCCCATAACAGCTCTACAGTTATACCCAAATTAATTAATTTAAAGCAGCCTATTTAGCCTTAAATGCTGCTGTAGGTGGAAGGCAAAAGTGGGCAAAATAGAAAGGAAAGGGGCAAGAAAACAAGAAATGACCAGAAAAGAGGAAAGAAGGACAAGAAGGGAATGGCTGGCAATAGTTATCTTGGTGTTTGAGCTGGTAGGGCCCCTTGTTCCTCAGGAACAAGTTGTAGGGTTGCAACTCCCAGTATGATGCATTTGAACTGTGGTGTTGGGAGAAGACTCTTGAGAGTCCCTTGGACAGCAAGGAGATCAAACCAATCAATCATAAAGGCAGTCAACCCTGAATATTCATTGGAAGGACTGATGCTGAAGCTCCAAAACTTTGGCCACCTGACTCTAAGAGCCGGCTCATTGGAAAAGACCCTGATGCTGGGAAATACTGGAGGCAAGAGGAGAAGGGGACGACAGAGGATGAGATGGTTAGATGGCATCACCAATTCAATGGACATGAATTTGAGCAAACTCTGGGAGATAATGAAGGACAGGGAACCTGGCATGCTGCAGTCCATGGGCTCGAAAAGAGCTGAACACAACTGAGCGACTGAAAACCAACTCCCAGTAACCTTTTTCTATGTCTAGGACCAAGGCATTTTTTCCCTAAAGAGGCAATGGAAAATGGAATCCTTAATTTAATTCTTTTAAAATAGAAATCTGGGAATCTATGGACTAAGGAAATTTGAACAAATTCCTCAGCTGACCAATTATTTATTTGTAGATCATTCTACAGTCAAGGAGATGCTTGTTCCTTGGAAAGAAAGCTATGACAAACCAATGACAAAGATTGAGGTGGCTCTAGTGATAAAGAACCCACCTGCCAATGCAGGAGACCTAAAAGACATGGGTTCGATCCCTGGGTCGGGAAGATCCCTTGGAGGAGGGCACAGCAACCCACTCCAGTACTCTTGCCTGGAGAATCCCATGGACAGAGGAGCCTGATGGGCTATAATCCATGGGGTCACAAAGAGTCAGACACGACTGAGTGACTAATACTTCCACATGACAAACTTAGACAGTATACTAAAAAACATCACTTTGCTGACAAAGGTCTGTACAGTCAAAAGTTATGGTTTTTTCAGCAGTCATGTACGGATGTGAAAGTAGAACCATAAAGAAGGCTGAGTGCCAAAGAATTGATGCTTTTGAACTGTGGTGCTGGAGAACTCTTGAAAGTCCCTTGAATTCCAAGGAGATCAACCCATTCAATATTAAAGAAAATCAACCCTGAATATTAGTTGGAAAGACTGATGCTGAAGCTCCAATACTTTGGCCACCTGATATAAAGAGTCAACTCAATGGAAAAAGAGCCTGATATTGGGAAAGGGTGAAGTTAAAAGGAGAAGGGAGCAGCAGAGGATGAGATGGTTAGACAGCACCACTGACTCAATGGACACGAATCTCAGCAACCTCTGGGAGATAGTGAAGGACAGGGGAGCCAGGCGGGCTACAATCCAGGGGGTTGCAAAGAGCTGGAAAGACTAGCAACTGAACAACAACCGGAGTCATTTAAAGAAAACTATCTACAAACTAGGGGTTTCCCTCGTAGCTCAGGCAGAAAGAATCTGCCTGCAATGCAGGAGACTGGGGTTCAATTCCTGGGTCGGGAAGATCCCCTGGAGAAGGAAATGGCAACCCACTCCAGTATTCTTGCCTGGAGAATTCCATGGGCAGAGGAGCCTGGTGGGCTACAGTCCATGGAGTCACAAGTTGGACATGACTTAGCAACTAAACCAGCACCACCTAAAACTAGGACAGCAGTAGAGTAACACTTTGTTATATTCAATGAGAAGAAATCCTGACACATAATTTCTAATTACCTTTATATTTTTCAAGTGGTGGCTAAACTGAAGGCAAAAGAAAATGTTTACTCTGAAAATGAGTTTGTTCTATTTCACTCAAAACACTTAAACCACCTTTTAAAACATATAAATTACAGTAGACAACATACCTTTGCTCTGTAAACATATCCCAAAACCACAACAACAACTTCTGTGACAAAAACCAAGAGTAGGATGATGACAAACTGTAAGGAAAATGTAAAGAAACATTGTTAAAAATTAAATACAAACGAAAAAATAGCTCTAAATAATCTCTTGATAAAAAGCAATTATCTGAGATAACTGCTACAAGTTTAAGACAAGTGCTAATTCTATTCCAATTATAAAGAGAGCCAAAGAGAATATGGCGTTTCATGCTCAAGTCAAGCAAGTAACACAAATGAATATTCCCACATATCACGAAGAGCTAACTTACCGTGGCCAGTCCACAGCGGCTCTCCCGGATTGTGGCACAGCAACCAATTAGCCCAATAATGAAAAGCAGAGCCCCGACAGCTATGATCACCACCGCAGGGATGAGAGTGTACACATCTTCAAAGAAGTGGTCATAGTCGTCATAAGTGATGAAGACATAGGCTCCGACATAGCATAAAATGCCAGCGGCTCCCTGTAGAAAACAAGGTCAGAGCTCTGGTAAAATTCTCCAACCCCTGCTGGTAAACATTCCCACTATTTCTTGGCATGTTAGAACTCAATGAGATTTTCCACCACTTTTATTTTTTTTTTTTTTTTAATTAATTAATTAATTTATTTTTTTATCACAACCATAGTGTATCTTTTTTTTTTTTTTTTTTTACATGTATTCCCCATCCCGGTCCCCCCTCCCACCTCCCTCTCCACCCGATCCCTCTGGGTCTTCCCAGTGCACCAGGCCCGAGCACTTGTCTCATGCACCCAACCTGGGCTGGTGAACTGTTTCACCCTAGATAATATATGTGTTTCAATGCTGTGCTCTTGAAACATCCCACCCTCGCCTTTTCCCAGAGTCCACAAGTCTGTCCTATACATAGGAGTCTCTTTTTCTGTTTTGCACATAGGGTTATCGTTACCATCTTTCTAAATTCCATATATATGTGTTAGTATACTGTAATGGTCTTTATCTTTCAGGCTTACTTCGCTCTGTATAATGGGCTCCAGTTTCATCCATCTCATTAGAACTGATTCAAATGAATTCTTTTTAATGGCTGAGTAATATTCCATGGTGTATATGTACCACAGCTTCCTCATCCATTCATCTGCTGATGGGCATCTAGGTTGCTTCCATGTCCTGGCTATTATAAACAGTGCTGCGATGAACATTGGGGTACACGTGTCTCTTTCAGATCTGGTTTCCTCGGTGTGTATGCCCAGAAGTGGGATTGCTGGGTCATATGGCAGTTCTATTTCCAGCTTTTTAAGAGATCTCCACACTGTTTTCCATAGTGGCTGTACTAATTTGCATTCCCACCAACAGTGTAAGAGGGTTCCCTTTTCTCCACACCCTCTCCAGCATTTATTGCTTGTAGACTTTTGGATAGCAGCCATCCTGACTGGTGTGTAATGGTACCTCATTGTGGTTTTGATTTGCATTTCTCTGATAATGAGTGATGTTGAGCATCTTTTCATGTGTTTGTTAGCCATCTGTATGTCTTCCTTGGAGAAATGTCTGTTCAGTTCTTTGGCCCATTTTTTGATTGGGTCATTTATTTTTCTGGAGTTGAGCTGGAGGAGTTGCTTGTATTCCACCACTTTTAAATCTATTTGTAGACTTTTATCAGTGAAGCTGAAAATTATTCACTAGTAAGAACATTTCTTTACTAAAGTTGAAAAGTCTTCCAAATTCCATCTACTCTTTGGTAATTGCTGGCTCATCTAGGACCGAGAAACCATTAATCCCATACATAATACAGATGACAAGAATGAAAACACACACACCCCTCAAAGGCCTTCTGTAGTCAATTACAGATCAGTGCAGAGGTGAGGGTTGCCCCCCTCAAATGGGGAAATCAGGACTAGTGGCAGAGTCAGGACCAGAATCCAGGTAATCTGACTTCAGAATCTGCATTTATACTCTCATCTCTTGCCTTGGGGAAAGAAAATTACAATAGTAACTAATAACCACGATACAGGATACCCACTTCTAAAAAATTTGCTATACTAGTTGAGACTGTGAAATGGTAAAGCTAGAGGGCTGTGTGACTAAAGAACTTTGCAAATCCTTTGTGTGTGTTAGTCACTCAGTCGTTTCTGACTCTGCGACCCCATGGACTGTAGCCTGCCAGGTTCCACTGTCCATGGGGTTCTCCAGGCAAGAATACTGGAGTGGACTGCCATTCCCTTCTCCAGGGGATCTTCCTGACCCAGCGACTGAACCCGGGGTCTCCTGTATTGCAGGCAGATTCTTCACTATCTGAGCCACCAGGGAAGCCCCGTGCAAACCCTTTAAGTCTATTTATGCTTTAGAATTGTGTTTCTCGAACTATGTGAATAGGAATCACCTGAAGATCTTATTAAACTGCAGACTGATCAGTAGGTCTAGGGGTGGGACCCGAGATTCTGCATTTCCAACAAGCTCCCAGCTAACACTGCTGATTTTTGAACTATAGTTTGAGGTATAAAGTTTTAGAGCACCTACAGGGAAAGTGGATGCAGAAAGTCATGGAACAGCTGCCGCTGCAGACACTGTGCTCCAATTACAGAGTTTTATTAATACATACATTCTCCTCTCATCATTGTCAATTTTGCTATTGTGTCAATTTTGCCAGCACAATGCTTACGGCCCAGTGTTGCCTGCTTTTATGTGAATGAGCAAATACAGTGTGAGGCTAAGTGTTAAAACATCGATTTAATGAATTATCATTTATAGAGCACTTTGAGACTTTCATATAAAAAGAATTATTTCACCATTCTTTAAAATTTAACAGATACATCATTAATTTTCAAACTACAAAAGAGCCTCCACAATTATATCATTAATTCCTCTCAACCTGGAAGCAGTTTAAGTCTGTGGGATTCTGTAAGTTTGGGCATCATCAGTATATTTTCATACACTAGGCTGATAGAATCACTCAGATCTGGGAGGAAAAGACTCCATTTATAGAAAGTTGAGAAAGTAACTTGACTTTTAAAAAAATAAATAACATGGACTTTTTAAGAGACATCAACTAGAATAATGGAGCCAATTTAAAACACCATATTCTTTTCAAACTCTCCTCTGGCTTTCAGGAGGCCCCCACTGCTGGCTCTCTTCCTATTTCTTGCACTTTTCTTGCTCTCTCATTCTTTAGGGACTCTCCTTCACCAGACAAATGTCAGTGATCTCCAGGGTTCTACCTTCGGCCCTATTTAGTTCTCATTTTGTAGGCTCTCCTTGGGCTAGCCTAGCTATGGCTTCACCAATCACTGTAGCTCTCCACCTCAGCCATCAACTCAGAACTACACATCCCCATCTGGAAGTCCCACAGATGCCCTGACCTCAGCCTACCTCAAACCCTCGCTGCCTTCCTGCTCACTCCATTAAATCTGCCCTCATGTTTTATATTTCAGAGCAAACGGCACCAGTTACTTTTCCTAGTCAAATGCCTGAGAGTTATTCTGTACTCTTTCTGTGACCTACCTCTATATCCCATCTATCTCCAAACTCCTTCAGGCTTACTTTTTTATTTTTTAGCAATTTTATTTATGGCTGTGCTGGTCCTCATTGCTGTGCAGGTTCTCCTCTAATTGTCACGAGTCGAGGCTACTCTGTTGTGGAGCACGGGCTCCCAGGCTCAGCAGTCGTGGTACACGGGGTTAGTTACTATGCAGCGTGTGGGACTGTCCCGAATCAGGAACTGAATGTGCATCTCCCACGCTGGCAGGCTGACTCTTTACCACTGAGCCACCAGGGAAGCCCCAGATTCACTTTCAAAACACCACCTGAATATTGTTAACTTCTCTTTAACCCTCTGCAGTGATTGTCTTAATTTGGGCCTTACCATTGTTCACCCTAAACCTTACTTGCTGACCCTCCCTCTGTCCCTTAATAATATGTTCTTTATATGATCAGTTATTTCTGTTAAAAATATAAATCAGAACAAGGCATTAGCGTGCTTAGAATCAGGATGAGGCAAGTAAGGCCTCTGATAAACTAAGCTGTTCCTTCCCGCTTTTGGGGCTCAGACTCCACGACCTCTCATGCACCCTGAACAACTGAAAGCTGTTATTCCAAGTGTACTACAAATTCTCTCACTTCTTTACCTTTGCTGCTGTCTTTGGAATGCTCTCTTCATCTGCTTAGGGACTCCTTGTCACCCATTAAGATGCAGTTTAAATATCACCTCTCCTTTAGGAAGCCATTCTTGACCATTTCAGACAGGATTAGATGCCCTTGGTCACAAACCATCCCCTACAAAGCTCTAACGGCATTTATCACAAGTGCTGAAATTATAACTATATATAAAATCTCTGCATACCTTTAGGGCACAAACTTTGCCCATCAGTCTTTCAGCGCTGAACCACCATCCATCACCTAGAGCAGTTCTTGGTAGATATTTGTCAAAATTCATTGAGAACACTTCATCTCATCCCTTCCCTTGAAACTGCCCTTCAAGCTCAATCATAATCTTTGGTTTGAATTTGCTTTGTTTCTCTTCAATTCAATCTTACAGATTTTAGTTCACTATTTGAACAAGATTTAGCAACTGAATCCAGCTTACTTAATTCTTAATGGCTATCACATCTGGAATACATTAGCTTATAAATGCTTTACTTACAGCAACTGAACCTGTTCAAAGACCCTCATACTTACTTTGGGGACATATTACTATGGGATGATGGAAGACATGAGAGAGAAAAGAGGATAAACAGTTTATTTGGGTGCATTACCCACAGAAGTATATGGAATACTTAACACTCATACCAAAAGTTACTTTTTCTTGACTACATATGTGTGATATGCAAACATACACATATGTACACACAAACATTTTGTTACAGTAAATACTTTTAGTCCCCAAACTGAATTAGAAGAAATCCTATATATGAAGCAATCAAATTTTATCCAATTTGTCTTCATTAGTCACCTCTCTATTCTTTGGATTCTTAGCTTTTCTTACTCTAACAGGCAACCTTCATTTCTTACAAGGCTTGAATTAAAATAAATTCCATCTTTGAGCTGCTAGTAAACGTAATGAAAGGCTACATAAATTTGACTGAAAATAAAACCAGAAGATATATTTACTCAACAATTTGAAATACAGGACACTGAAGAACTATTTCCATTCTAGACATGAAATGAGTTTGAGATCCCTACAAGGCTTGCCCTCGGTGCTGCCTGGGAGTGGGCCAAGCCAAACACTTCCAGTGCGCCATCTTCCACCCAGTCCACCCAGACAGATAATGAATGCAATGATAGGAGGAGATGCCATTTGTAAAGCTGCCTGTTCCTTTTCTAATAGCTTTGAGAGAAGTTTCTTTCCCCAGGCTGCAGATCAGTCAACATCTAAATCTCACAGTGAAGTTGAGAACATAATGCTTCTATTTTGACAACATACAGGGGGAAGCAGCATAGTCGCTGCACATACCAAGCAAAAACTGCAGTGATTGCTGATATGAAACTATAAAAATCAAATAACTCATAAATAGAGG